CATTGACTAAATCAGATTTGCACTTCTCAAACTGGTGAATTCCTTCATCTGTGCAGGCCTACCAGCGGCAGAGCGGTAAAATCGCTGAACACTGGTAGTTCGGTCCGAGGTTCGAATCCCGCGAACGTACTGGCTGCATGGGCGTTTTCGTGGTTTTCCCCATGTGTAACGTGTATATGAGCCAGTTTCCCTTAGAAAGTCCTCCACGAAGGCATCCCTTCTCTTAGGCAGATAGCCCTAGTGTGCTTTGCCATAATTAAATACACTAAACACCTTCATCTGTGCATGGAACTTTACAATGATCTTTTTTTATCACCCTTTAACATTTCGTGTATGACTCCTTGAGTTTCTGCAGCATTTTTCAAAAAGCATCGATAAAATTTTATCATGCCCATAAATGAACAAAGCTCATGTATTGTCGGTAATTTACATTGCAGATTACTTCAACCTTTTCTGGCAGCGAACAGGAACCTTCTGTAGTTATGAGGTAACCCATAACTTATGTTTAATATGTAATACATAATGTAATATCCCACCACATTACCCATTTCCAATCCTCAGATGTCCAGTGTCTTTTCTCGACACCACTGAAAATGAAGTCTTGCATGTCGGCAGAACTGAGTGATTTTCTTACAGGCACCAAAACTATGCATTCCTATCCCTCTGCAATTCGCTGCGCATAGTTCTAGCTGAAATTTGTTGGGAAGAGCCTTGGTTGACGATTTGTGATAGTTGAATCCGTGTTCTGCCGTACAATTCATCGGAGATACCGCCGATCACTGTCTTTGAAAACTATGCTCGAACTGCAGTTACATTTTTTAGAGAAGGATTCGAAATCGATGCCCCCACTAAATGTGCACCAACAATAAGCCCCTTTTTCAAATGGTGAACGATCTGCCGCCTTTTTTCCCCATTTTACTTCATTCATCATGAAAAGCACTCTTACACCTTACTTATACTGGCATTTTAACCAAGTATAATCCACATCATAGAAAAAATTTGGATATTTCATCCCTAGCATGCATTCAGATGAAAATCTGAAAGGTTTCTTATTGATTGGCCAGTGTGTGTATTATTATATTATGCAACATGAGGCAGCATTAACATGTGGAGCTGGGAAGGCTTCTAATGATCACCTTTCTCTCTTGTGAGAGCAGGATGCACTGAAATTTGATGTCCTTATTTTTTAGAATGGTTATGAGTTTTGTAGACAAGTGGATCATCCACGTTCAAGATATAAGCAATCATCTTTCCACAATACTCAATTTTGTATGTCTTCTTCTCAAATATCATTGTATGGATGTCCTTCCAGCTGAATCAGGAGCAGTGACTTTGTGGAGGTTTTCCTTGGAGAAATGGACTTATATTGGAGTTACACATGATTCAAACCAAAATACTTCTTTACCGCAAGTATTTAAGTTCAGAGGTGTAACATGTTGTGCAGAAAATATTCTCAACAAGTTATCAGCTATGGATCAAAGCACACAAGAATACTTAGAAACAGAAGTGCATGAGGAAACATTCAGAAAAGAGATGACTTTAATTTTTTCCAATGTTAGTGCAGCACAGGTGATGCTATTTTAAAAAATTATTTATTGAATTATGACAGAGGTCATCAAACTTATTTTCTTTTTCACAGAAACTGTGACTTTATGGAAGTCTTCTTTGCATAAATGTAGTTTTACCAAAGTTACTGATGATTAAAACCAAAATATATGATTGCACGCATTATTTACACTGCAAAATATAACATGTGGTGCAGAAAATGTTCACAACAAGTTAGCAGCTATAAATGAAAGCACACAGGAATATTTAGAATGAGAAGTGGATGATGAAACATTCAGAAAAGAGATGCAATGGCAGTGCAGCACAGGAGATTCTAGCTTCAAGTATTGATTACAGAATTATGGCAGAATTGATCAGACGTATCTATTACTGAAAGCAGAGACTTTTTGAACATATTTTTTTTAGAGAAATGGGGTAATATTCTAATTAGGTATGGATTTAATCATAATGCTTTGTTGCAGGCATAGTTTTTATTCAGACGTAGAAAATGTTACGGTGTGCTGGCTTGGCTTGTTACTGATTACAAATCAAAAATAATTTTTGGTTTCCTGATTCTTTTCTCTCCTGCATTCTTTCTAGGAGATGAAATAATTTTATCTGCTTCTGAAATTTCAATTTCTCTTTTTTCTTGTGTTTGTTTTACAGAAGCAGTGGCCTGTTTTTGTTTCTCATTCTGTGCTCTAGCATCAACAATATACTTCGGTTCTCTAAGAGACATTTTTCTTGGTGCTCTTGGATCAACAAGCTCAGGAAGAATACAATTCACGTAAAATTTTTCGAGTTTTGGAACTAAACTGATCCAGAAAGTTTTGTCTTCGGGTATTCTTAATGTGATTGCATCTTCTCTGCACCATATATATAAATCACACCAATTCCTCTCTGTTATGGCTAACTGCCCTTGAATTTGAAAATAATATTTGTGGCTTTTCGGTAAATAAAGATTATTATCAGCATCCATCCGAAGACCAACAGAATTAGGCTTGCTGAAAAAGTCTGACAAGTCTGCTGAGAATCTGGCTGTATAAGGACATTTTATTTCAAGTAATCCATCTTCGTCTATCAATCCATCTGGCGAAGTACAAAGAAAGGGATATTTAGGATCAATAAAAAGGCCACAACGTCTGATGTTTTTTCCCATGTGCTTTTCCTTGTATTGATTTAAGGCTACTGCTTCGTTAGCCAAGCCATACTTTAATGCTTTAGTTGAAACGTTATCATTATATATGATACGTTTCACTAAAGCAGCACTGAGTGTTGTTGGACGCCTATCAGCAACATCTTTGAAAAAGGATGATGATATTCTTCTTGATCTTTCATGACGCCATCTTTCAGATGATGACTGTCCACGTGTTACGGCCTCAAGAGAATCTTTTTTTGGAACTTCAATTGATATAAAAAAATTTTTAGCTGCCAATTCATATGCTTCATCTGATAGGTCTGGTTTCTCAGGAAAATCACCATAAGAAATATCCCCACCTTGCTGAATATGTCCTGCTTTCCTCATATTTCTCTTTTTCTTCTCAGTGTCAAAAAGTCTACGTCTCTCAAGACGTTTTACATGGCGCTTATTTCTGGAAGCTAAGAATTTCAAAGTTGGAGTCCTGGGGCTACTTCCTGTTACAGCTTTTTGTGCATTTTTTTGCCACTGCTGTGCTGGATTTTGATAGGCCATGACAGCAATACTCGCACGCCTGTTCATGCCACCAGCTTTGGAAAAATCAACTCTTTTTCCACCAGATGTTTTACACAGTTTTACACAGTTGACTCATGAAGCTTTCAGCAGGATTATTTGCGGCATTCCAAATAAGAGTACTGCTACACGATATCAGTACTCTTCCCACTTCTGCTTCAATAGCTTGCAACATACCCGAGGAAAAAATTTCATTGTATGTGCTGTCCAACTCTGCACCTTTCTTTGCACAAAAAGCACTACAAGCATCATGCTTGCCAAATATATGATGTGGCCCATTTCTCAAGTCAGATACTAATGCATCAATAGCTTCTTGTGTGTGCTGATAATGGCTAGGTAAAGCATGAGCTTTTATAGCTACTCTAGCACCTCTGACTAACAGTGGCATTTTAATTTTCAGCAATTCCTTTAGCCCCGGGGAAGCGCGCGCAGTATTTTGCTGAAGTTTCTCAAGAGCTCTGCGATATCTTCGAACAGCATGGTTAGCACATTCTACTTTGATCACCCGTCCTCCATATGAAACGCTTTCTTTCACTTTGGCCATTGTGTTAGCATCTCCATCTCCAACAAGTCGAGTACAACGTATTTTGTGAACACACTGGAGATAATTCAGACCTTCCACAATGGCACTGCTTTCCATACCTGTAGAAGGCCCATTCCAATTTCGCCAACAAAGGTGCACTTTATTTGGCATCTTGCCATCTTCAATAGCACTGCATATAAGGCACACTTTGTTGCGAATTCCAACAAACAAAATTTTCTGGGTGACCATGCCTATAATAACAGATATGCCACTTGAAGCATTGTAACCATGCCCATAGCTTCTTTTACACCAACCTCCATCAACAATGACAGTTATACAGTGATAACCATCATTATCTTTATCATTGCGAAGTTCTGCCTGCCTTTTCTCCTCTTCTATAGCAGCACACATAGTTTCCTGTGCACATCCCTGTATTATTTTGCCAGTAGTTCGCTCACAAGAAGCAAAGGTCGAGTTGCTCATATACGGAATTTCCATGATGCTAAACTTTTCCTCCTCTTGTGAAAATCCACTGCCAGTAGATAACGCACCTAATACTGCAAGCTGATTTAGGCTGCTTTTCTCCATATCAGAACAAATTGTTGCCATTTCCCCACATAAAATTTTATCACATACATAGTTATATGTAGTGACAAGACCACGTCGAATCACTTTGTTAAAAATAAATGATCCTCCAAATTTACAATTTAGGGAATGTTGCTCTAATGTCCTAGCCTGCACTATTACAAAAGACATATTGCAAATTGTTCTGCCAGATGGTAATGGATTTGCCTTTCGTCGATCTTCCCTTTCGATAATTAAAGGTGAATCAGGACACAGAAATTCATCATTAAGGTTCTCCTGAAGAGGCTCAGACTCCAAGCTAAAATATATATATATACAATATATATACATATATATAATTAATATATATAAATATTACAAATTAGGTTTAAATTTGGCTTATTTGATGACAGCAAAGCACTTGATCTTCCTAAGAGGAGGAATGCTTTCATGGAGGACTTTCTAAGGGAAATGGCTCATATACACGGGGGAAAACCATGAAAACGCCCATGCAGGCAGCCCATTCGCAATTAGGTTTAGGAAATTTAGGCAACAGATAGCAAATAAATTAACAATAATAATACACTGGATTACCAGTATATTACTACAAGAAGATGAGTCATCTTCACAACTGCTGCTTCCATGCTCGCAGTGTCATTTGCTCGTGCAATATTAGTCACTACTTTGTGTGCCGGAGGTTTCACATGAAGGGCCTCTACACCTGAGTATAAAATGTTCGTGTTCCAGTAAACACTGAATTCAGAGGGGCAAGAATAACTCTTTCATGGTGGATAACTCAGTTACCAAATGGCTTTCTAAGGCTCTATTCAAGCCGTTGTATAAATGTCATAATTCCCAACTAACAACGCTTTGTAGTCAGACCTTGCTATGTCACAAAAACTAGTTTGGGCATTAAGCTTGAAGTTTTCAACTTTGTGCCGACTTGATATAAGAGTCGGCCAATCAGAGCATATACATAAAACCTATTGAGAGAGAAAGCTGTAGACACATACATGCATGCACAAATTTAGCTTCTCTAATTGGCTATGGCTTAGACCCTCTCTCGCAGGTGTGAATGGAACTCCCACATTTTGTGCCTTATGATTATGCGTCTATGACATTTATACCATCATGTGAACGGAGCCTTAGGATGGCATACTAAGAAGATGCACTGTCTTGTGGGGATAAGCAATTTATACTCCTAAGCCTAAAAAAAAAACTTGGAAAAAAAAGATCACGACTTAAATTTGTTGTCTAATTGCTCTAATTTGAGGCACATTATGAGAGGAAAGCAAAGGTAGTAATCAGAATTATTTAAAAAATTTTATCCTTATATTTTTCTTAAAAATTCTGTAAAATAATAAAATTTGTGGTTTTCCTCAAATAAATATATATGGAAAAAATAACAGCCACATAATCACAGATTTCATTTTGTTATATTTTATTAACAAAATTTAAATTATTAAAAATCTCTTTCATGAAGGGAACATAAAACATCATGAAAACAATGAAAAAGAAGCAATATTTAAAAAAGATAGTAGGCTTATTGATGAGGCTCCCATCAAAAGAATCAAACCCCAAAATATTTTCATTTGCTTCAGTGTCCCGACTGAAAATTTCACTGATTTCAATGAATATATTTTTAAAAAAATCTTTTATTTTCAAGTTCTTTCATGCAAAACGTCCAAATTTGGTACAAATCAAATTCATCCCCCTCTTTTTGATAGCTACAATATTATATTTAACAGTTTTAATAGCTATCAGTATGTAAACAACATAATGTAACACCATAAAAGAAAAACATAAATGATGACATTTTAATTTTGGCATAGAGAAATACATATTTACCCCAAAAGAGAGCTTGTATTTCTACCTTCTACGTCAGAGTCAATAACTGAAATGTCCAGATCAGAACTGAGAAGAAAAGAACCATAATTAGTTTAATTAAGATACAATAACACACCGACCAAGTATTAATTTGAGAGTCAAGCAACAAAAATCAGCATCATATTTTGAAATATTCACTATTTGAAAATATAACGCTGATTTTGGTTGCTTGACTTCTAAATTAATACATAATTAGTTAACCATAATTAAGTAACTGTAATATCATGCACAGCTAATATCTATTTTAAAAATAAACCAACTTACCTCAGGAAAGCCTGGTTTGTCTTAGGAACATTAGCTGTAACTTCTGGCGTAGAAAAGTCAAATTTTTCACTTCCGGACCTAAGAATGAAAGAAATAAACTGCTATAACATAATTAAAAAAAAAAAAAAAAAAAAACATGAATAAATAAATAAATAACACATAACAAATTTAAGCATTAAGCTATGTATGACTACCACCCATCTCAGACAGTGCGACAGATATTGCTGTATACTGTTTCGCCATACCCTGTGTAGCTATTATATCATGCTGTATAACCACAGTTTAGAAAAATTACAAAATGTGTTATTTATATCTATCTAAAATGGTACATTACTACATGATTTGTAAGAATAAATTAGAGGGCTCTGCGAATGAAATTCCTTCCAATTAAAAAATGTAGGAATAAAGAAAATGCAGGAATTGCAAATGCAGAAATGAAAAAGGGGATTATATTTTTTGTACAGAATCCAGATGACATATTTTTCAACATTTTAGAAATTTCAATATTAATTTTAGGGGCATAAAATATTAGGCCCCTAAAAGCAGAATATAGTTTTTAAATGTTCAGATAATCTTCCTATGAGAAGAATTCCTTTGAGAAGTACACATCTGAACCACAATTAAAAAACATGTACAAGAACAGAGCTGAGGACTTCTGTTTGCAGAAAGTCTGTCACATAACATATGAAAAGTTTCTTATTGGTAGATTTTTGATCAGACGGATATTTTAATGTTATACAGAGAAAGCATTCACTCCCTTTATACTGGAGATAATTCAATTTGGACAATGGCAAAAAGGCTAAGCAAGCCTGAGCGTATTGGTCCCATTCTTGGCACTAGTTTGGTTTACGCTCAAAATACACAGCAGATATTTTCTAATTACCTGCATCCCAATATCAATTCAATTCAGCTTTTGGTGGAATTTAACATTTGTGACATATTTTTCAAAAACTACACTTCACAACATGCATACATGACAAATACACAGAACCATAAATAAACAAGCAATAATATATATTTATATATAAATTTTACTAAATGATCATAAAATGTTCCAACGCTAAAAGAAAGTTTTAACATCCAAGTAAATGACATAATAAAAAAAAGCAAGTTGAACAGCGAGCACATGAATAAATGTGCATACACCTGTTAAAATATACCATAGGTAACTGACAAAGCATTTCGTAGCAAACATATGACTATAAAATTTCCAATAATACATGTAATGATGGTGAATTCAATTTAGATCGCAAGAACATGCTCATACTTTTGAAAAGATTCAATTATTTCAGCAATTCCTTGTGAATTGGAATTTACCCTTTCAATATTTCCCAACAATTTAGTGTGAATGGAGGAATAAATTCTTATAACAGAATTGAACAATTATTAGCATCCCCTCATACACACACATACAAAAAAAAAAAAAAAAAAAAAAAAAACTTACTTTGTAAAAAAATCATCCGGGCAATGATTCTCCTTTGACACAGATGCAGTTGTATCAATAATTTCTGACCTTCAATAAAAAAAAATACGCATATTTTACTTCGGAATTAACTTACTACGAAATCATAAACACGGGGTAGTCGATATAAAGAATAAATTATTTCTCACCTTTCGAAAACATCCGCTTGTTCGGAATCTTCCACATCTCGGGAATTTAATTTCATATTTTTTTCTTGAGCTCGACGTTTACGCTGAATTCTGGATCTTTTATTAAAACCAGGATGTTTTTTCGGTCGTCCTTGATATTTTCGCATATTTTTTGCAAACTGACCACAGTACAAATAAATGTAAACAAAACGAGTGCGGAATAGCAATGCAATAGGGTTGCCGTAAACGTCATTCTGCTGACAGCTGACAATGTTTAGTGAAAACTGTGTATAAAGGAATATATGAAACGCTTCTAAATATTATTTAGAAAAAAATATGATTTATAACTGATATCAAAATCAATTACTTCGTGAATTTTTGCAGAAATAAGATTACAATGTTAAATTTTAACTCGTAGCGCCATCTATTGATGGCTTTCCAAACTACACATTAAAATTACGTATTTCAAACTAATTTTTTTAAAATATAATATTTAAGTAAATTTCATTTCAAACCTGATTCTAACATTGTGATTCGAAAACTGACCTATTGCTTTATATTTCTGCCAAATTGCACGCAACATAGTTTCTTAATTAGCGATTCTGCGTGTAAAAAAATTTTTAGTATTGTAATGCTGCTGTCGTAGACCACCTTAAGCACTTAAAAGTATGTTATTTGATTTTTCATATACATTTTACTTGAAAATTTTGTATTTCTTGAACTTGCAGTGATCAACTACAATTTTAATGTTTTTCTTCTGTGTTTCTTAATTTTTCAGAATATCTTAATTTATGCCCTTCAGAAATCTGTAGCGAAATTAAAATTAATATTTCTGAGTGAGATTGTATTTTGAGGCAATTCTTTGTCCTCGGAATTCTTTACCTAACAACTTTGAAGAGACTAATATTTCTTATAAATTTTTAATTAAAGATAAAATTTTATGAAATAAAATCTTAATCAAATTTCCATTAAATTGTTTTCAAGGATAAAAACTGCACATATTTTACATTGACTTTTATTTTCAATGACTGAAACGTTTCAAGTACAATTTTTTTTGTACTTAAATGACAAATTGTTTGGAATAAAAAATGTAACTTTTTTATGTATTATTTTAAATGTTTTATAAGCATGTGATTTTGAATATCAACCATAAGTAAATTTTAAAATCCGAGTTCGCTTCGTGCATGATAATTGTTTAGTCAAAATAATCAGAAAGAATATTTTTGAAATAAAATGAAAGTATTTAGTGTTCTACGCATCTAACACATTTTAGAAAACGATATCTTTAAAGAAGGCATGTTTTCTATAGTTTACGTTTTAAATCAAATAAAAATATCTTTTTCATCTTTATATTTCATGGAGTTAGCCATTTCTTATACTTTGATATGCGTTCTCTTTAATATACATGCAAGGCTTAATTAGTATGTCGGTTGTGATTCATACTATATATTAATACTTGTATATACTCGAATCACTTTTTTTTTTTTTTTTTTTTTTAGTACTGGTTTGCTCAGACTCTCTCTTTTTTGTTCATTTGTTCATTTTATTGTTGCAACATGCTTAATTTTTATATAGTGGCGATGGTGTGGGAGTGTGAGAAGTTGTATATAGTCCTTATTTATTTTAAATATTGTCCTCATTCATTTTTGTAGTCTTTATTATATTGTACATTGTCCTTATATATATTGGTAATAACCATGGTTTCTTACTGATCCCGTGACTCAATTATTTTAATGCGTGCTATATGTTAGTGCACATTTCCCACTGAAAATATATTATAAAACACTATTAATAATTATTATAAAACTCTATACGTCTTCAAGACATTAAACGCAATTAATTCAAACAGACTCATGAATCTATGAATTTTTATGAGCAAAAATTTATAATTTTACGTGTGATATAGTGCAGAATATCAAAAACAAGGATGTACAAATTGTCAAAATATAAAATATTTATATGAAAGGAAACATACTTTTTTTTGAGGAGTTAAATGTATTTAACAAATGGTATTTAGAGAAGAAGTTTTTCTGCTTGAAATCTGAGTAACTAAATACTGAAAATTTAAAAAACATCTTAAATTGTTTAACCCTTTCAGTCCCAGTTTATTTGTTAGTTTCAACTGATTTAATTTTTTTATGTATTCTTGGTTATTATCACAAATGAAATTAACAGAAATTCACAGTCTGTCACTAAGCCTCTATAAGAAGAGGCGCGCGACAATTTTGTAGTGGGGATGTTAGAAATGATGCCTACTACCAGTGGGACATCAACTATGTAATAAATTGATGCTTTTAATTCCATCTAGGCTTCTTTAAACATCTACTGGGACTTATATAACCTATTGGGACTGAAACGGTTAAGGGAGAGAATTAAATGCTATATTTCACCGCACTTAAAATTTTCAGAATACTGATTTACGGGTTTTTTTACAAAAGTTCATTTTTTAATAAATGATTTAGCTTTGCATTTTATATTCAGTTATTTTATTCATAAAATGAAATTTTTTCTTTCATTAATAATAGAATATATTTGTTTCGAAAGAGAAGTGAGAATCAGGTTTGGCTGGAAACTGTAGCAATGCAAGATGAGAGCAATTAGGAATTTTTCGGGAAAATAACGCTTGAAGTTCTGAGTATTGCTAATTATAGTATTGGGGAGAGTCAACTATTAGGACAGGTGTTTCGATCAAGCTTAACTCCTGGGGATCTGTCCCCTCTGGCCGCTTAAGGTTTTTTGGTTAATAAAAGACAGTTGAAAATTTCAGTCATTACTGATGATGCTCCACGTACAGAAAGAAATAGCATTTCTTATGTTATTAGTATTTGTATGTTTTACAGCTACCATGCAGTTTAAAAAGAGAACCCAGAAAAGTTTAGTTGAGTTTACCAAACATGTTTAGACCGTCCTTCCTGGTTTGTTTTTGATAAAGCCCTTTGCCTCTTTTGCATATTTATTCACATATAAAGATTTATTTAGTTAACATATAATTATATCAATAAATTAAAAATATGATTAATTATTTGTTAAAAATATAGATTTAATTGAAATTTTTTCTTTTTCTTTCTTTTTGGCCAAACTTCAGCAATACGAATAATGAATAATACAACATTTTAATCTTTTTCCAATAAAATTACATATTCATGTAGTTCGATTAAGGAGGCGAAACTTCCCGATTATACGTATGATAAAAACATCATAAATTCAAACTTTGTCGCTGAGAATGGAAAATATTTAGAATCTGAGGAACAAGATTTTCCAAAATTAAATATATATTTTTTAATTATATAAATTTTAAGCAGTGTGTTTTCAGAACTGTGCAATATGCATTTATTTCTTTTTTTTATTGCTTTATTATTAAATACTTCTTCAGACCAATGAGAGAAATATACACATTTTCTCGAAACATGTTTTACTCTGTCAAAATAACGTTAAAAATTTGGTGTCCGGTCTTTACAAGCAAAAATTATAAAATTTGTTTTTACGATTTAATGTATTTAAGGCATGAAACTTTATGTATAAATAATGAGAATAATATAAATAAAAAGAAGTGAAAAAATATAAGTCCTTTACACGAAAATGAAATTGGTATAATGTTTTAAATGTACTGCGTTTTTTTTTTTTTTTTTTTTTTTCCCTCAGTTCAATCATCAAAAGACGTCAGACAAGCAATTAGTATATTTGTTATTTACAGTGGTGTACATGGATAAACTGAATTCTACATTTACCTTATAGCACACCTCTTATTGATTTCCAATTCACAATATATCTTTGTTAATTATTATGAACTGTGAAACTAAAACTACAGTTAATTGCAGATGAAAAAAACTATAAGATTTGTAAATTATTAAAACAAAAAAATATTTTTGTTTGATTTAAAAAGTAAATTAGAGAAATTAATATGCCTTCTTTCAAGATATCTTTTTCCAGTAGTTTAATGCGTAGGAGCACTAAATACTTTCATTTTACTGAAAAAATGTTCTTTCTGGTTATTTAATTAAAAAATAATCATGCAACGAAGCGAACCCGGATTTTAAAATTTAGTTATGATCGATATTCAAAATCATATGTTTCTAAAGCATTTAAAATGATACATAAAAATATTACATTTCCTTATTCCAAACAATTCGTCATTTAAATACAAAAAATCTGTACTTGAAACGTTTCAGTCAGTGAAAATAAATGTCAATGTAAAATATGTGCAGTTTTTATCATTGAAAATTAATTATATAAGGGAAATTTGATTAAGTTTTTATTTCATTAAATTTTATCTTTAATTAAAAATTTACAAGAAAAATTAGTCGCTTTAAAGTTGCTAGGCAAAGAATTCCGAGGACAAAGAATCGCCGCAAAATAGAATCTCACTCAGAAATATTAATTTTAATTTCGCTACAGATTTCTGGAGCGCATAAATTAAGATATTCTGAAAATTAAGAAACACCAAAAAAACATTAAAAATTGTCTTAAGAAGTTGGTCACTTTAAGTTTACAATAAGTAACTACGAAATTATCGAATAAAATGTATATGAAAGTTTAAGTAATACTTTTATAGTGCTAATAAGAAATGTCTAAATCTAAAAGTAAATGTAAGCAATCCAATTTAAAGCGACCACTCAAAATTCTGTATTTTTTTAATCTTGTGTGGATTGGTGAACTTGCTTAATGATTAAAACCTATGTTTATTGATCTTAAAAGCACTCTTCGTCTTAGGGAGAGATAGTCACCAAGAAGGTTCACTGAAAGTATACATTATTCTAAAAAACAAAAAAGAAAAACAAAACAAATCAAAAAACTGCGTGAAGATTTTCGTGTTTTTCCTGAAGTATAATGTGCATATGAACCTGTTCCTGACAATGTATTCCACAATGGAATCCCACCCCCCTTAAGCAGATAGCCGTAGTGTGCTTTGGCATAATCTAATAAATCCAAACCCTACTGAACTATTATGTAGCCGACTTTCGTCATAATTAACAAGTCAACATTCAAGTAACTGACTGCACGCTGTGCAAGAAAATTTTAATAACACTTTAAGAATAAACTGAAGCAAAACAAGAAATAATTTTCATTATAAGAGTATTAGATTAACAAAAGTGAAGAAAATAATCTCATAATTAAGTTAGTAATTTTTTTATACATAAGGTCATGCAGGTACTTACCTTCTTTTTTAAAATCCTTTTTCGATTATACTTTTCATGAAAAATTACCAGTAAAAACTTTATAAAAAATTATTTATTACTGACCTTTGTTAGTCAATTATGTCGATTTAAAATTCTTTTAAGTGATATAAGTTGCATTAATTTCCTATGCTTAAGTTTCCTTCTTACTTTATCGCCCACCAGCGGCCGAGTGGTAAAGTCGCTGAACACTGGTAGTTCGGTCCGAGGTTTCGAATTCCGCGAACGGGCTGGCTGCATGGTGTTTTCGTGGTTTTCCCCATGTGTAACGTGTATACGAGCCAGTTTCCCTTAGAAAGTCCTCCACGAAGACATCCCTCTCCCTTAGGCAGATAGCCCTAGTGTGCTTTGCCATAATTAAATACACACGACACCTTCTTACTTTATCAGAAAAAATTTAGTAGTCAATAAAAAATATGAAAGTAAAAATTATCCTTCTTTCCATCTTGCGCTCACAAATCGTTATGGGAATATCCATTTGCAATTA